CCCCAAAACCCCAAAACCCCAAAACCCCAAAACCCCATTTATTTCATAGGATCTTGAGAGCGATTAATTGTAGTAATCCAGCGTCTTGTTTATCATTACCTTTATTTTCTTGTCCTCATCGGGCTGGTCCCCGAGATGTTGGGATTTAAACGATCTGGAATGCTTGTGGAAGGACTTGTACATCTCTGTGTATGTATCATCTTTTGAAGCGTTTTGGAGGTTCGTTAGGACTAGATTTTAGGGATTGGGATTACTGTTCTGGGCTTTGTGGAAACTTTTGTTCTTTCGATCTGATTTGTGTACTGTGAGGTTCCTTTTAGCGATTTCTTTCATCCCTCTATGTTGGAAACTTTTTAGGATTTTGGATTTTGTGGTGGTAGAACCTAGGTGTAGCAAAGGTGGTTTGGAATTCCTATCCATTGTTTTCATTCTTTGTAACTTCCTTGTCAGAGCTTGCTTGTTTTCGTATGATTTGGTGTTTGAGAATGGGATTTCTTCCATCTCGCTTTTTACTAAATCTTGGAAATTTTGGATATCTTCAGGCATGACCAGATCATACATGTTTGGAGATTCTACGTTGAGGTTATTTACCCATTTTGTTAGCACATGTCACTGGTTTATTATAGTATTGATCTTATTGATTCTTGTTTGCTTATTAGAAAACTCTACTTGCTTCATGACTCTTCAGCTTTCCATTTGCATCATCACCAGATGCTTCAGTTGTTTGTGAAGAATTTCTATTGAAGTTTGGGCAGTTTCTGTATCTTCCTTATCAGTTTTCTTGTCATAAAGTTGTTCTACATCTTCTCGATCAGCCTTTCGCTTTAGAGTTTGTTTCATATTTAGCAGTTCGTCTTCGTTGGTATGCTTCCTGAGCATTTTATTTCATATCAGCTACAATTTTGTCAGCTTCGTTTTTAGTAACCTGTCTGATGCTTTCGGAGATTTCATTCGAGATGCGGTCGTTGATATCTTGGACACTCTCTTGAAGGATTCAGATTTTTTCGAGGTTATTAGTGAGTTTAGTATCTAAGCTGTCATGAATTGAACCAAGGTTGTCCTTAGTGGGATATTCCATTTTTAATTTATGCAAAACCTGTAATGTAGAGATGAAATTTACCTGTTGGACTGAAGTTTTTGATGCTTTTTCGAGTAGGACTTCATCAAATCTTTCAATTATTTTATTATGCTGGTCCTGGGCTCATTCAAATTCCCATACCTGCCTCTTCATTTTTGTTACTTCAGGGAAAACCTTTTTCTTGAGATTCTCTAATTCAGTCTTTTCAACAAAATGTTGAGCTTTATCGTTAAGTTGCTTGATTTCTTCTTGTGAAGCTTTGGTTGCAATTTTCTCTGAAGTATTTTTAGCTTCAAAAATCTTACTGTAAATTGCTAAAATCTCTTGTTTATTTTTGTTAATTTCTACATGCTGCTTTCTTGATTTATCGCTTTCTTCATCAAGCTATGAAATAGATGATTTTTTAAGTATAATATTGAGGTATCCTTACCTTCTCGGAGATTTCTTCAATTTGGGTATAAATTTTGTTTTCTTTTTCAGCCAAATTTTCTTTAGTCTGGTAGGTGTTTTGAACTTTGGAGTCCAGATCTTGAAACATCTTTTGAACCTCTTTGCGATTGTAATAAGATGTTTCGACCTATAGAGTTATTTTTAGGGTTACATCTTGTTTATAACTGTCAAATTCTTCACTGAAGTCGTCAAATTCCTCTCTTTTGAGGTATTTACTAGAAATTAAGCTCAGAGGTACTTCATTAGACTATAGATTTCTTTTATTGACTTCTTGGCGGCATAAAGACTTGCTACATTAGTTTGAAACTCTAAAAATTAAGGTAATTTTACCAATGAATTCAGTTGTCTCAAGTTTATCTTTTAGCTTGCTTCGGATGGAGAGGCATTCTTTTTGAGTATCCAAGAGTTTATCTTGAATTTCTACAGTTTGACTTCATAACCTTACCTAGTTGTTTCTGCTTCATCATCTCAAAGTCTATTCTGAGAATGCTGTTTTCAGAAACTGCCTTTTTGAGTGCTTCTTTTGTAGCCTTTTTTTCATGGATTTCTTTAATAAAGGATTCGTATATTTCTGCCATGATATACGAAATTATTGACTTCTCTTGAGAAACATCGTAGTTGGTAATTAGAGAGAATATAGGCTCTAGCTTGGAAATTTTGTTGTTTAAGGAAGTAATCTGGGCACCCAGGTCTATGGTTATGTGTATCATTACCTTCTTTAGTTTCGGTAATCTATTTGATAAGTGGATAATCGCTTACTATATTTCCAACAGCCTTGATATCGTTCTCCGTTTGGTATTTTGTAGCTAAGTGATCGATTTTCGGAATTTGGAATGTATTCTCTTGATTTTCCAGTTTCTTTGAGATCTCAGAATTCTGGTCAGGTATTGGTTTCGTAATTGTCAATCCATCGCTTTTGGAAATTTCAAGACTCGAAGAGCTACTTTATCAGTTAAAATTATCAATTGGGGTGTACATAAAAGTTTGTGAGGATATCCAGTCCTTAATCTTTATGAAAATTTGCTAATAAGAGAAAGCAGAGTATATTCGACAACAATTACGGTATCGGTGCTTTACAAATTTGACATAAACTAAAACTGGTTGCAGTATTTATATTGTAGGAAATTTGATTTGAGTCATTCTCTGAGGAAACAGACAAAGACTTTCTTTTCAAATGGAGGGATATTTAGCACCACAGATTCTCAGATGTATTAGGTTTGTAAGTCCGGAAAGGGGGTAAACATACTTTAGGTCTTGGATTATGACTCCTTTTGGCTTTGATGTTTTTGGACGGTTCTTCTTTTGTTTGATTTCTAAAATTTGAATGTGAGTATCATTAACATCTACCTAAAACTAGGATTTTAGGCTTGGAATATTTGATAGAATTAAGATGATGTCAACGAGTTTTCAGCTCAAGAGAATTCTTGATGATTTCTGATTTGAAAATCTGAGCTGGATAGCTTTCTTACCCGAGAGTTTCTCTAAAGATTCCATAAATAAAATAGTATAAAATTTATTAAGGATAAGGGGTTTTGGGGTTTTGGGGTTTTGGGG